GGGGGGGACACGACTGGGGATTGATCCTCCTGTCTCAACCTTCTGAGCTGCTGGGATTATAAAACGTGTCCCACTGGCCCACCTAACCTCTAATCTTATTTCTTTTTGCAGTACTAGGATTGAACCCAGGGCCTTGAACATGTTTTGAAAGTATTTTATCTCTGATTTATGTCCCTAGCTATTGTTTTCCCCATCGAAGATCTCAGTAAAGTCTAGGCTGTCTTCAAATTTGTGATCCTCCTACCTCAGCCTCCCAGGTAGCTGGGATTATAGATGTGCAACAGAGTGCCCACCCGACCCTCTAATTTTTGTGGTGACCATTTACCATCCAGAAGTTATCTAGGGGCTCAATGAGGTGACCCTGAGTCACCCCATTACCATAAACTTAAGTGTGATTGAAAGGGTCTTCTTATGAATAACAGACACTAATATGGGAGAATTACAAGTATTTCCTGAGCTGGGAACGAGGGACAAGATCAAATATATTTTTACTCTGGGCCAAGGCAGCAAAAGTGTGGAGGGTTACAAAAGACAATGTATAGGGTGGGGATGTAGTTTAGTGATAGATCACTCACCTAGTGCACAGGGACCCTAAATTCAATCCCCAGTACTGGAAAAAAAAAACCAGAGTAATTATGTGGTCCTGTTGGTTGGACAGACTTTTTAGTTTCAATGTGTAAGATTATGACATCTTGAAATAGGGTGATGGTAGTGAAAATGCAGTAAAATGAACTAGCTGGCTTGGGATACGTTTTAGAGAACAATTCAGCTGGACTGGCTGAATTGGATGGATGGATGTGGGAGGTAAAAGAGGAATCAGGAATGTTTTCCAAGGTGGATGTGGTGACACATGCCTGTAATTGCAGCAGCTCAGGAGGCTGAGATAGAGGATCATGAGTTCAAAGCCAGCCTTAGCAATTTAGTGAGGCCCTAAGTTCAGTGGTTAAGTGCCCCTAGGTTCAATCCCTGGGACAAAGAAAAAAAAAAAAAGAATATTTTCCATTTTTGGCTTGAACAACTAAATGGATGATGGTGCCAATTTGTGAGACTACTGGGAAAGGTAGTAAGATGAGGGATAAAAATCTCTCTAATAAGTTTGAGGTGACTATGAGATAGGAAGTATAGATATTAAGTAGCCACTTTTTTTTTTTTGGCTGATAATGGAACCCATTCTTTGTGCTTGCTAGGCAAGTGCTCTACCATTGAACTACTTCTCAAGCCTCTCAAGTACATTTGTGAATCTAGGTTTTGGTGGGGAAACCTAAGCAGGAGAGAGACATTTGAAAATTATTATCTTATAGACTTAAAATCAAGGAGTTGAATGATATCAGCTGGTGATAACATAATATAGAGGACTAAGGCTTGAGCTCAGGACACTCTAGTGTTTCAAGATTTAGTCAAAAATGAGAAATTATACCCCATCTGATTCAAATGTATGATATGTCAAGATCATTGTATTGTCATGTGTAACTAATTAAAACAAATTAAAAAAAAAAGATTTAGCCAACCAGGGCATAGTAGTAATACGGTTTTGTAATCCCAGTGACTAAGGATGCTGAGGCAGGAGCAGCACAAATTCAAGGCCAGGCTGAGCACTTTAGTGAGAACCTGTCTCAAAATTAAAAAACAAACAAATAAACAACCCCCCCAAAACTGGGGATGTAGCTAAGGGGTAGAACACTAGCTAGCATGTACATGACCCTGGTTTCAATTCCTAGTACTGAACAACAACAACAAACAGAATGAAAGAAAATAATTTTACCTAAAGAGGAAAAAAATCAGCAAAGGATATTGAGCCTAGTGAGGGGATAGGAATATCAGGAGAGTGGGATATGGAGGAAAGTTCAGGGGAAAAACTGTTTCAAGAGAAAGGAAGCATATCAACTCTTAGCAGTTCCCTGAGGTCAGTTTAGATAAGACTAAAGAATTGATAATTGACTTTGGAAACGTGGAGTTGATTAGTAATCTTGTAAGTGCTCATGATGTTGGGAGCCAAAGCTGGATCAGACTAGGTTGAAAGATGAAAGTGAAGTGAGAACAAGTATTGTAGAGAGATTAAAAACTTTTTTGAGAAGTCATACACTGAAGAGTGAAATGGAGAAGCTGCTGGAGGCAATTTTATAGTCAAGGAAGGTTTATTTTAAGAATTTCAGTATGTTTATATGCTGATGAGAGTGATCCAATTGGGAGGAAAAAAAAAGAAAAAACTAATGATACTGAAGGGCAAAGTAATTGTAGGTGTAAAATCTTTAGGAATGTGGGAGTGAAAGGAATCCAGGTCACTGGTGGAAGGCCTGGTCTTCTTGATGCAGGGACATTCTATAGTAATACAAATGATACTATACAGATAAGAGTAGTTTTGACCATGAGAAGATAAGGGAATTCATGTCTCTTATCTTTCATTTTTTCCCATGAGATATGAGGCAAAGTTGACCAATAGAAAATAGGGGTTGGATAGGAAGTATAGGACGCTTTTAGTAGAAAGGAAAAGGTATGAAATCTTTCATTGTCTTTGGAATAGCAGTATAGCAGAGGATTAAGCACACCTCCTCTTACACCTTTTTTCTTCCTCTTACTGGACTTTTTGCTCCTTTCTGCCATTCATCACCCTTTGCTATTGTATCTTTATTAGTTAACTTGTCTGTTCCCGCATTAGAGAATGATAGGAGGGCAGGGATCTTGTCTAATTTCCCACTGCAGAGGACCAGTAGATAGTCGCTAAATAAATACTTGTTGAAAACAAAGAGTTAATGAATGGACATCTTCGGAATTTTGTCTTAGGCCACCCCTGTTAAGCAGTACTTGTTTGGGCAAGTCACTTTTCCTGAGTTTTCATTTCGGAATATTTACCATGGAAGAACAATCTCTTCTTTGCTTATCTCACCGCGTTACGAGGAGGATCTGAGCCAACAAGTCCAGAAATGCTTCAAGTGCTCCTTAAACTTAACGGATTGTTACTTTTGGCCCACGCATAACCTCGCAGGTAGCAGGTGCTGAAAATGCCTTGCTGGTTGGGGGAGGGGTCATTATTGTTTCTACGACAGTAGGCATCGAAGCTTGGCCAAAGGGTTCCGCCGATCCCGAGGGGCGGGGCTCAGGCCAGCGTCCCTCTAGCTCGGTCCCTTCCCTGGAGGCCTCTGCAGAGCGAGAATGGGGGCGGGGAGGCCGAGGGGAGAGTAACTGTCAAACCTAGCCGCTTGGCGCCATTATTTAAATGGTACGTGCTTGTCTCGCTGCGGTACGTGCCTGGGGCGGGGCTCCGAGCGCCCGGCGCGGGGCGGAGGCCGGGGGCGCTGCCGTGAGGGCGCCGGCTGGCCGTGCGTGAG